TTATTTTTTGCATTAGCATGGTATATTCACCGCCCCTTTCAAATAGAAGAAGTGTATTATAAAGAGCCTCATAGTAAAACCACAAACTAAAAGTGCCTCTTCTCTGCTTTCTAGTTAAATCAAGTAAGTAATATATTTGAATATAGTCTGTGAAAATAATACCAAAGAGTATAATCTAGTTGTAACACCCCATATCGAAAGGGGGAGGCTTAGCAATTTTTAGAATTTACAGGTGGGACCCACGCTCCGTAGGGAGCCTCGTGGATGAGCACCATGTAAAAATGGCCTAAGGCAGTAGCCACGCCAGGACCCACGACCCGTGGCTAGGGGGTTTCGTGGTTGACCAAGAAGTCTCTGAACCAAATCACGCTTGACCAGGACAGACCGTAAGTCCATCCACGGTACGTTAACGTGGTCTCCTGGTTGGTTACTGGACGGCTAAGTTGAGGACATAAGGGTCCTTTTCGGATTTGATTGGACTTAAGTGGTGTCGTTTTACCCTAGTCTAAACCACCTATATAAGTACTTTAGACCCCTAAATTAAGTCATTTAAGTCATTCTCTCAAACTCACCAAAAGAATTGGGTTCCTCTCTCAAATAATTTCCTCTCTAGAAAGTTGAAGAAGAAGAAGAAGATGATTCAAGCTAGGTCAAGTCTCCAATCTTCCAAGCTTTGTGGGCTTTGTAATCAAGGTATGATGGTTATTTCATTCATGGATTCCTTTCATCCATGAAGCCCCCATTTTTTTCCCAATTTAGAAGAAGAATTTCCTATGTCAAACTAGGATTTCTTCTAATGTTATGGGTTATGATTCAATAGAGTGAATTATGATTGTTTATGATGGAATTGCATGTTTTTAGTATGATTATACATGTATCCATGCCTAACCTATGATTCTAGAGTGAATTTGATATAGTTGAATTTTATGCCATAAGAGGGAAAATTGAGGGCTTAGATGTGATCTTCTAAGATTGATGAATTACATTATAGATTGCTTGAGATGGAAGGACATAGACATGAATTTCTTAAGAGTGAAGCTTATAGACATGAATTGATCAAGATCAAGTATGTATGATGAATTATGATTAGTAGGGCTTGCGAGTAAAGCTAACATGATGAGTTAAGACTAGTAATGCTTTGAGAGGGAAGCTATATGATGAATGTTGATAATAGATAGAATTGTTGTAGAAGGTTTACCCACGTGACCTATGTTATGAGTGTATGATATTATGCATGTCTTATAGAATCTATGTAAATGCTTTAAGAACACTTTGAGAGTAAGGTGTCAATGATTATGGTATTAATGTTGTGTTGCTTGAAAGGACATTCTCATGAACACACACATTAATGTGAAATGTTTTCTCACATAGAATGATTCTAGGTTGAAAGGCTTGCTCACCTAAAATGAATCAAAGCATGTATGAACTATGTTAGCTTGAAGTAGTGATATGATACCTCTTCATGAATAGCTTGACTTGGTAAGACAAGACCATGCATGGTAGCTTGAGATAGTAAAACTCATGGATAGCCTTAGATTGAGCAATCGTACCCTTCCAATGTAGCTTGAACTAGCATAATAGAATACTTGCATGATAGCTTGACTTGGTGAGGCCACACCACTTCATGATAGCTTGGATTGAGAAATAGTACCCTTTCTTGAGTAGCTTGGACATGCATGAGAGGATGCTTTCCATGATAGCTTGGTCTAGCATAGTAAGGTGATTTTCCTTGATAACCTTGAAATGGTAAATCGTAACCATTCATGTGTAATGATGTGTGGTTGACTAGTAGAGTGATACTCTTCCATGATTAGTAAGAATGACTAAAGAGGGACAAGTCCCTAATCAAAGTAGCACAGTTATGATGAAATAAGATTTCCTCAAGGAGGAATTGTAAGTATGTTTCTATATGAGATTGATTGTATGATGATAGCTTAGCTTGGATTGTTAATTGAGTTGCTTTCCTTGACATGTATGACTAGAGGTGATGACTTATGTATTGAGTAAGAATAAGTTGAGGTTACTTGAGAAGTGTTCCTCTTATGATATGAGGATTTATATGCATTGAATATGCTTATGACTTATGCTGTTATCTCTTATGATTATGGTATATATCTTATGTTTGACTAATGCTTATGTTATGCTTATAAGTTGATAATTTATGCTAGCCATCATATTTAGTACATTGTTGTACTAACACATACTTTTGCCTACATTCTTATCAAATGTAGGGTCCGGCGATATTGACTTCCATCTTCGTGGCTAGGATCTTAGTAGAGCAAGGAGTGAAGATTTGGTGAGTCCTCATAGCATCAAGGACTTGATCATCTTTCCTTTTATGTCTTTTCTTTTATGTTTCAGAACTATTGTATGAGATGTGTCCCTAAAACTCTTCAAGTATTAGATGGTTTGAGACAAATGTTAAAGACTTCTGTTTCGTTTTATAATAGACTTTGATATTGTTGAAAATGTTTTAAATTTCTGCACCATTTACTATTATCTTATGTTATGACATGCTAAGGGATTGTATGAGGCCTTTCGGGGTCTTGTACGCCTTGTTACATCTAGGGGGTACCCCTGAATTGTGACACTAGTGACTAATAAAGTTGATGTAGAACTATAATATTTAAGGTTTGAATCACAACAAAAGTTGTTCAACATAGGTATTATATGTTCAACATAGGTATTATATAAAATTATATATTCGGCAAAGAGATAATGGATTATGACCTGTAACTCCTGAACTTGGGTGACAACAGTCTTAATGTCTATCATCTTATAGTCCAGAAACTTTGCCATAATGAACTCCTTCATTCTGACATGTTTTGTACTTCTTTTTCAAAGCATCTCAGAGTTCTTTTGAGGTATTCATATTATTGTACACATTGTACAAATTATCTTGCAGGCCACTCAGAATATAGTTTTTGCATAAAAAATCTGATTGCTTCCATCTCCATCCGTAGTTTCATCCGACAGAATAGAAATGTTCTCACCAATGAACCTTTGCAGACTCAACGTAGTCATATAGAAGAACATATTTTGCTATCATCTCTTGAAATTGACTCTAGAAAACTTTGCAGTTTTCTCAGCCGGGGAAAGAACAACAATTGAACGATTTGGGTGCAACCGATGTTGTTGCAACACTCATTATTCTAACATTAACTTGACTTGAATTAGTCATTTTTCAGTCAATTTAGTATATGAAATACTAGCAGTAAAGAATAAATCTTTATACAACATGTTTCTGATTTAACGATAAAGTTCTTATATTCATCTAATCGTTAATCGAATGAATCTTAAATTCAAACAGAGTAGAAAACCAGAAAGATTTTAATCTCCAGAAACCTCAAATATAGAAACAAATATATATTAAATTTCTTAAGCTTGTTATCTCTTGTATTCAGGTTAGTAAGAACAGAAACATAAAAGATGAAATAGAAAGACATATACTAAGCAATTCGAATCCACAGAACCCACTGTGTATCCTTAAGAAATTTAATCCCCTCAAGTACCCAAGGTTGTAGATTAATTCCTCCTAAGATAAAACAAATTAACTATTAAAGAAGTAGGGGCACCTCAAACTTCAATAATTTCAGCGAACTCAAAAACCAGCAATGAGAGCACACACACAAACCAGTTGATAAAAAATTTATTTGTAAGAAAATGTATGCAAAAGAGAGAAAAATTTAAGTGTTTGAAAAATGAAAGAAGTATATATTATAGCCAATTGCAGAAAGTGTGAGCAACAAGTGTGAACACACCTGTTCAAAACGTTTGTGTCTTTTGGGAAAAGAAGTGTCTGTTCGAAAGGAACATGTCCATTCTGAGCGACTTTACCTTTAGGCGAATTTTCAAATAATTTTGTTATGCGAAATTAATTCCTTTAATTAATTAATTAACATTTTGAAATAATTTTAAGAAAAAAGGAAATTAATTAATGAGATTGATTAAATAAATTTTGCCTAAACAAATTATCAATCAATCACATGCCGAGGCCGAGCGAGCAACGACGCGGCACGAGGGGGCACCTTCTACTTAACCCTTTAAGAGCTAAAGTAAGTGTTTCCCAATATAAGGACAAATCGTTTCCTTTTCTTCTACACCAATATGAGAGAAATTACTTTTCATTTGAATGACTTTTCATTTTCCCTCCAAATTGGTTCCTCCACGTTTCCCAATTTATCATTCATGCTTATTTCTCATTTACACCTTGCTTAAACCCAACAGTGTTTCATAGTTTTAAAAAAAGGTAGCATGGCTTATAGTTTACAAATAGTTGGGGTGGTCCAACTATAGTTGTTATGATCAGAGGCGGATTTAAAATTAGAAATTTATACACTTTTAAGACGACCTTAAATTATTAATATTATTATTAGTGAGTTTGCATTCAAATATTCATGTATAGAGACACATATTTGTGATGAGACCACTGTATCTTGTTTTTTTTTTAAAAAAAACTTTACTATTATGCTATAATTGGAATCATACCCTCTTGATGGACCACTTCCATTTAGGATGATGAACAAAAATATATAGGGAAAAGGTAGAAGTACCTCCCTAGACTATGACCCAAATTCGAGAGTCACACCTTAACTAATTAAACTAAGGTCCTATTACCCTCCTGAACTCATTTTTTTTTTGTAATTTTGTACACCTTTTTGGCTTACGTGGCATTCAAATATATCCATGCGCCTCAACTACATGGAGTCACGGGGTGTGCCACATAAGCCAAAAGGTGTACAATATTATATATAAAATGAATTTAGGGGGTAATAGGACCTTAGTTTAGTTAAGGTGTGTCTCTGAGATTTCGGTCATAGTCTAGGGGGTACTTGTGCCTTCTCCCAAATATATATGCAAAGTTGTAGAAAACCTATCGAATTATTGCAAATATGGACCACCTTTTATAACTTGAATATCTCATATTGTCCTTGATGACCTTTTCCAATGCCTTCATCTATATATTTATATATATAGCTTTTGCATGAGCATAGTATATACATATATAGCCCTTTTTTACAAAGGAAAATTTCTATTTGTATATTGAAATTAATATGCAACGCCAAGCCGCCTCCATGAAGAGAAATCTCTTCAATCAGGTCTTATATATTTTCTTTCATATTATAACATATATTTGGAGATTTGATTATTTTGTAGATTGAAACTCTACGTATATTGGTGTGTAGGACTATCTAGATGAACAATTTAATGAGCTAGAAGAACTGCAAGATGATGATAACCCTAACTTCGTGGAGGAAGTTGTTAACCTTTTCTTCACGGATTCAGTTAGATTGATTCGTAATGTTGATCTTGCTCTGTAAGTAATATTACAATTCTCATTTTATTTTATAATATTACAACTAGTTATGATGTTTCTTTCGTTAGTACTAATGTTTTTATCAGAAATAATTGTGTGTAAATTTTGAGTGATTTATTTTTTTGAATAATCAAAAGATTTTGTAATGGTTTGACGCAAATAATTATGAATTCTGTGGATAATAATGCATATTTTGTACGTACTTAGGGCAAATGAACCTTACGATTTTGGTAGGCTGGATGATTTGATGCACCAATTCAAGGGCAGCAGCTCAAGGTACAATTTCTAATTATTTTAATATCATACTCTTATATAACAAGGCATATAGTTCAGCATGATCTTTATTTTGTTTAATTCTCTGTGTAAATGTTGATTTACCTACTTCAAGCCTTGTAGTTAAAGTTGGAAATTACATAAATTGTATAATAAATCACATAATAATTTAAAATATTCAAAAATCATATAAAAAATTGATTGACTTTTCAAATTTTATTTGTTTCACATAAATTAAGATTAAAATGAATAATATTATTGTTCCTGTGCTACGCACCGGATCCCATATCTAGTAATATAACTAGGGATGGCAATGGGGTGGGGCGTATGTGGGATGGGGTGGTTTTAAGGCTATGTGGGGCGGGGCGGGTTTAAGGTTTTGCGGGGCGGGTTGAAGTGGGTTTTTTTAAAATTTATGTGGGGCGGGGCGGGTTGCGGGTATATGTGATTTCATGTGGGTTCAAACTTAATTTTAACTTCTTTCATGTTATAAGAGTGATAGAGCATTATTTATTAAAATAATTTCTTTAAAACTACTAAAATATTCAAGATAGTAAATGAAAATGGATCAATAAAAAATAATACAATTTCTTACATGTTTCCAATTGACTTCTAAAAAATAAAATTTTAAGTCACTATCCTATTAAATTAATACAACTTAATGAAAAAATGAATTTCTTTTTTATGAATTTTATTTTTATTATCAAACTTAACTAGAAAAAGAAAATATTAAAAAAATTATGCGGAGCGAGTTCATGCGGGGAGGGTCTATGCGGAGCGAGGCGGAACGAATTACAAATTATGCGAATTAAGCTCGACCTGCCCCACCCCACCTCGCACCGCCCCATTGCCATCCCTAAATATAACATGTTTACGTTTAATTAAATTGTGCCGTTATTTTTATTTAAATTAATAAAGGAGGAACACATGCACGTTAAAGTATGTCAGTTTGGCATAATTTTTAAGGCAAGTAAAGTTGGGTTGTTTGTTTCCTAAAAAAGATAAACATTTTCCTTGTTTGTTAGACATATTTTGTGTGGTTAGAAAATTACTCCCTCCGTTCACTTTTACTTTTCACATTTTATCTTGACATACATATTCATTAAAAAAATAATTATTAATATAGGTATTTTACTAAACTAACCATATTAAATGATGTCTTGAAAAATGATTTGAAAAATAAGTATTTAATGCTGAGGGTAAAATATGGATAAAAAATATTATCTTTTCTTTATGATATGTCAAAAAGGACAAGTAAAAATGAAAATCTATTTTAAGAATAAATAATAAGTAAAAGTGAATGGATGGAGTATTTGTTTTCTCAATTTTTGTCCCTTACTTGATCATGAATATGAATATTAATATTTCCCTCTCAATCTTTATATATATTTCATATATATTCCAATATTCTTTTTTTTCTTCTTTCTTTTTGTATGTTATTGACACATATTCTAAAGCTCTTCCATGTTTATAAAAGTATTCCCTTCATTCATGCTTACCGGACCCTTCACTTACTTTTTTGCACACCTCATAAGGGTGTTTTTGTTACGGGCTGCTATAGATAAAAGATATTTAAGTGATTAATATGTTTTTTGAGATTAACTTTTTAATTTTAAATAGTTAATTATATTATTTTAGTGTAAATATAATTAATATTTATAATTAAATGTGAGATAAAATAAAATAACCTCTTAAGAAATAATAAATAAAATATATATTTATTATATAGTCTCAAAGGACTTAACACATGTTAAATTACTCAAAAAGATAATTTGGTGAAAAAATTAATGTAAATAACTTCCAAATACAAGTTAAATTACTGTAATCGTGTATATAACTTAAACTAATATTACCAAGTGAAAGCACAATTATCGATGGGTAAATATTTTGTACTAATTTTGCTACAGCATTGGTGCCAAAAGAGTGAAAAGAGAGTGCTCTCAGTTCCAGGAGTATTGCAATGAGAGAAATATCGATGGGTAAATATTTTGACATCATTTATTATCTTAGTGGATATTCACATTAGCGATTCATCATGTGCAGTGACAAATTTAAAATTTAAAATCGATAAATTCTATGTGACAATTTTTAACACATAGTTAGATGCATGTGTAACATATTTCAGGTGCAAGAGGGCATTCCAAGGGGTGAAACAAGAATATGCTACTCTAAAAACTAAGCTTGATGCTTATTTTCAGGTTTCAGCCTTTATATATCTCTCGTAAAGTTTGTAGCGACATAGAATCTAATGACAATTAACTAATGCTGATAAAGACTTTAAACACTGTTTGTTAATATATATATTTATTGCTGCTAAATTTTTGAACATTTTAATTGTAGGTAGCAAGAGAAGCCTCTTGAATAGTCCCATCCATGGATTGCATCAAGTATCTGTCAAAGAGTATATTATATTATATACATGTTATAATCAAATAAAATTATGCAGGACATTTCAAAATGTTGGGGCACTGTATACTTATAAAAACCTGTTGTTTCTGTTTATTGATAAATAAAAATAATAATCTTATGTTTATCTTTTCAAGATCCTTTATCAAAGTAAATATAGTTGTAACCTCAATTTCCAAACACCATACTCTCAAATGTATTAGTAGTACGTAGTTCGGCAAAATGAATCCATATTTTGATAATCTATTCAACTCACTCATATTTTAGTGGATTAGGTGAAATGATTTTTTAAATAGATGAATATGAATTTATATCCATAAAAATATAGAAATTCATAGATAAAATATGAATTAACCGAGTGGGTTAAGTTTTATGATGCCTCTAATCCAAGGAATAGAACTGAACTCTTTGGAATAATTATTTACTAAATAAAATAAAAAACGTGTTCCACCTTATTCTAAAATATGAAAAATAGAAAACATGGGGGGCAGAACCGCAGAAGAGGGTTGTGCATACTGTCTTTTTTTTTGTCAGGAATTCACATTGGAGTCCCGATTAAATTCGGATTGCGCACTGCATGGTTCATTCAGGGGTATCGCTTCCAACATGATTTTTTTCATACTCAAGACTAGAAATCGAAACTTCTGATTAAGAATGGAGTAGTCTCACTACTGCACCACAACCCATATTGGTGACCATGTATACTGTCACGATACTCATATCATTGACTTCTCCCTCTCGAATTTTAACAAAGAGTTTATAAAAATCAATGCAACCAACATTTGTATAAAGTAGCAAGCAATTATATCAAATCGTATTCTTTAACATTTGAAATGAAAAGGCAAATATAACATGTTGCTGTGGTGTATATATAGTACCATAGATTAAAGTAAATTATCGTTGAAAAACAAAATAATAAAGATTAACAAAAAAGTATTTAAGTTGAGATATAGATATCTCGCTCTTTTTAGTGAAGGAGATTCAAGTTCACTATGACATAATCTATATTGATCCAACATTATATCTCTCTTAACTTGCTCCCTCCATTTTACAATAGTTCAACAACGCCGTATAACCTAAACAACTCCGGATTAGTTGAAGAGTACTCCAAAGTTCCATTATTTGAATACATTTTTTCAAAATAAAATTACTCTTTTGTATGTAGTGAATTAGTTGAAGACTTAAAAAGATATTTTTTCTTAAGTCTCTCTTTCACTACACTAATAATATAATTAGGCTCATCCACTTCTCATCTTTTTTCTATATATATTCTTATATACAATGCGATGACAAATCATCACTATTTATAGGTGATGAATTCTTACTTGCAATGAATAAGAAGATTATGGGGTAGTAAATTAGGTAAATGAATGACCTATATGTTATATAAAAATAATTGACCACATTCTTGTCAATTTATAGAACTAAAATATGCACTTTAATATTAAAATGTTATGCTCCAACATTCTCCCACTCATTTTAATATTAAGAAAATAGAGTTTCACCAATTTAATTAAAGAGAGATTATTATGCACAATGAACGTGTATTCTGCATTAAATCTTCACTTACTAAAATATTAACCTTTACTCCATAGTCTAGTGGTCTCAGATTTGAACTAAGACTGTTTAAGAGAAATAAATTATCAATGCTTACACACAATAATCAAGATATTGACATAAGCCTTTTTAGCCAACACATTACAGCCTTGTGTTATCTCAATTTTCATAAGTAGTTTTGAGGATAAGTCCAATTCTCATAGGAAGCGGTCTACTTCCACACTCACATAGGTGATATTTGTCAAGAGTGCTCCTATAATTACGACATCCCACTCGTACGAGGTACAAACTTTTATTAAGAGTTCTTAAACTCAACCTCCATAAATCATTACAAAATAAAAACACTTACATCATAAAGAGAGAATAAAATAAATTTATAGTGCATGCATTTCACAACAAGTCATCATATACATGACATTTTTTATTAAACCTAGTTATAGGATCTCTAGTCCAAAGGTTGGGTTTCTGTAATGGTCTGATTCCATCGTTAGGGAAAAGCCATTGGGAAAAGAATTGGACCAGAAAAACTTTTGAGTAGTAACTTGAAATTTCCTAGCCTAGTCCAGATTTGGACGAAAACGGAGTCAGGCGAGTATAAGAAAATCTGGTAATGAATGAAAAGTGTAATAATGAAATTGATTGCATGAGTGGATAGCTAAGACGTTAAAGAACCCGTACGACTTTACGAAAATGAATTCGGGCGAGTAGAACTCCCGAAATTGATCTTAGCGTGAACGGGTGTTTTCTGAGTGTCGTGGGATGAAAGTGTGTTGTGAAATGGGGGTTTGGAGCTCTTAATTCGACATTCTGTTTCCGTGCAAGCCGCTGTGGCAAGATTATTCCCGCCAGGGCGAGGCCGCTGTGGTGGGCTGGGGGCCGCCATAGCGGGACAGTCACGATTTAAGTCAGAAATAAACCCCAAAATCGTTTTATTCTGCAAGTTTCGACTTTGAGAGCTAGGAGACGACCCCATGTACTTTCTTGATAGTTTTCCACCATTCTTGAGGCTAAATGTAAGGTTTTAACTCCCCGAATCTATTTTTCGATCCGTAGATTGTAAATTCGTGGGTGATTATTGATGGGGGAGGGTTTCGATTTGGAAATTATGGTGGAAAAAGCCCTAATCTGGGTATTAGGATCTTGGGTTGGTCTAGAGTTATTGTTTGTAGACCTAGAACAAGCGGAAAGACTCCAAAAAGGGAAGATTCAAGTGCCTTAGGGGATTCAAGCTTGGATTCGAGGTAGGTGATGGTTATGATTTCATGTTGGTGTGATATATGTTTGTAATTGCTCATTATAATGCATGTATGTATGAGAATGTTGCATTATTGATCACCCTAATCGTAAATGAGGATAGTTGAATAATTGTACGCAATGAATCACCTCTTGTTGTATGATTGTGAGAATATACATTGTGATTGTGATTATGGTTTGTTGAATGGATCGGGTGTTACGTTCTGACACACTAACTTGGATCGGTTGCCACGTTTCGGCATAAATATGGGATCGATTGCCACGGTCTGGCATAATTATGGGATTGGTTGCCACGTTCAGGCATAAACATTGGATCGGGTACCACGAACCGGTACACTAACAGTTTGGGTGTGGGTTTTATGAGAGGACCATTGAATTGGGTTTCGTGAGAGGACTATTGAATTGTGTTGTGTATCTACTTGTGATGATTTCGTTCATATCTAATGATGATTGATATTGGAAGACTATATGTTGCTCTAAATTGATATAACTGTGATATGTGAGAATCGTAAAAATGTTCGTTATTCGTAATAGTTGACTAATACTGTATATGTTTGGTATATGCATGTTTTATAATGATTGTGGTTACTTGTGTGTGTTTCACTTATTGGGATAGTCGCGCGATCCTACTAGTACACTGTGGTTGTGTACTGATACTGCACTTGTTTGTTCTTTATTGAGTACAGGGCATCTTCAGGCGGCTATTGATAAACCTCAGCTATGTGACTATTGAGTGTGACCAGATTCAAGGGTGAGCCAGTTCTTTCATGCTGTCATGGATCTTTCTTGCTTAAGTGCACCCTTTTCGGACTTAGACTATTTGTTTAAGGTGTTTTGTTTAGTTTCGGGGTTGTACTCCTTGTTCTTAGACTTGTCGTTAGTAGAGTTTTGATACAATGACTTTCAGGTTCTAAGAGTTGAATTTCCGCATTAGTTTGGTTAGTTAATTGTTTAAACCTTTGGAGTTTATGGGGACTCCATTTTTAATGTCATTTAAACATGCTTTTGTATCTTTAAATGCGTAGTTTTTGGTTAAGTTGTTTAGTATGGGTTGTAGTAATGGTTCTCCCATATGAGGGTTAGTGTGGGTGCCAATCACGACGGTCTGGGTCGTGACAAAGTTGGTATCAGAGCCCTAGGTTCGTTGATCTCATTGTACCAAAATGAGTTTAGTAGAGTCACATGAAACAGTACGATGACGTCCGTACTTTTCTTCGAGAGCTATAGGACTTTAGGAAAAAATTACTTCTTTCTACTCCTTTATGCTATGACTTGAATCCAATTGGTATCTAGGTGATACAAATTGACATATTTCCTCCTCCACTTTATGGTCCGAACTAGAGCAACAAAAGTGGTAACACCATCACTAGCAAGAGAGGATGTGTATAGACTACCGACATTTGAATAGGGTCACCATTCAAAACAAGTATCCATTGCCTCTGATAGATGACCTTTTTTACCAATTGCAAAGTGCATCGGGTTTCTCTAAGATTGATCTAAGGTCTGGTTACCATTAGTTAAAGATTGATGCGGTTAAGAATTGGGTTCGACCAAGTTCTATGATTGAAATTAGCAGTTTTGTGGGGCTCGCTAGCTACTATTATCGTTTGTGGTATGAGTTGAGTCCAATTGGTATCTCCCAATTCCAATTGGTATCTCAACGAAGTGAACTAGACGTCGTAGTCACGACTGAAGGGACACAATCAAGTTAATTGGAACTGAGAAGGTTCCAATTGGTATCTGGCCTTAGGGGTCGTATAATGCATAAATGATCAGTAACAGTCGTCTATGGAACAAACTATTTAAAGAATTTGAACTTATCCGCAAGTTATAACTGCTTGAGTATCGTGGAACTTGTTGTGAAAGGAAGGTCACAACTAAGTTCGATGCAAGGGTCTAGATAATGTACGATGTGATTCGTAAGAAAGATCTGGACATGTCTTGCGCTTGAGTAATAATCGCGTGAGTGTCTGGGTGTATCCTGGGGATGTGTGGGTTATGGTGTTGAATTAATGAGAATGAGTTGAATTGTGTATCGTTGGATAGACTCGGTAGACAATGATTATCCTAGTTCAGAGGATTATCCTAAATTGCTCAGTAAATCTGAAACCCGTTGGGAGATTTAGAAAAGAGAAAAACCCCAGAAAAATTTATTGCATGGGTACTGTTTTCGTCTGAGCCGCTGGGTGGGATCTTTCCGCCAGTGCGAGGCCGCCAGAGCGGGACAGGGCGAGACAGAATCTTAA